TATATATATGCCTATAGTGTCAGATGTGTGTCTCCAAATGTCTTTCAGTGTGGATTCATCCACTGGGCCTATTATGGGTCAACCACATAAGACACTGCTTGTCCCTCTCCTTGAAGTCAGCATTTTCCAAAAGTTACTTAGATTGTGCTGGGATTCCCTACTTCCTCACATGTATGCTAGATTGTGTTTGGTTTGAGCTTGCACAGGACTTCTTGTACATGTTGCAACCATTGCTGTGAATTCACAGGTGTAAATGACTAGCTTTCAGAAAGACTCTATTTTGTTGTTGTCATCCACCCCCTCTGACTCTTAAAATCTTTCTGCCTCCTCTTCCACAATGATCCCCAAACCTTGGGGAGCAAAGGTTTGATGTAGGTGTCTTATTCAGGAATAAGCAGTCAGCAATCTCTTGTTATCTGGTCATCTGTGTTTTTCTTTGTTAATCACTATCGCCTTCATAAGGAAAATTCTCTGGTGATAGTTAAGAGATGTATTCATCCTACGTGTGGAGGTTGCATTAAAGGTGTGTCACTTTGGGTTAAGAATTTCACTGACACTTGTTCTCTGTGTTTGAGTAATTCTGGGATAAGTCCAATTATTTTTATTTATTTATTTTTTGTCTTATTTGAGACAGGGTCTCCCTGTAGACCCAGCTGTCCCGGAACTCACTATGTAGACCAAGTCAGCCTTCAACTCACAGAGATCTGCCTGCCTCTGCTCCTGAGTTCTGGAATTAAAGGTGTGTGCCACCATGCCCAGCCAATTCTTTTTCAAATATATATCATTTATTATTTTTATTTTATGTGTGCAAGTATATTGCGTGTATTTATGTAAGTGCACCCATGCCAGGCAAAGCCCATGGAGGTCAGAGAGGGTGTTAAATACCCAAGAACTGTAGTTACAGACAGTTGTTACCCACCATGTGAGTGATGGTCCTCTGCAAGCGTGGCCACTGCTCTTAACCACTTAGCCATCTCTTCAGCCCCTAATTTTTAAATCGAATTTAAAAGTTATCTCTTTATCTTTTTTCTTATGTCTCATGTACTTATTTTTCTTTAATTTTTTTTCTAATAGGAGAGCATGAACATACTCTTTCAATAGCACAAATTATGCAGTAAAGTTTTCCACCTTTAGGAAAATTGCAATAGTCAGCATATCTGGAATATGATGGATGAGCCCTGCAATGGGAAAACCACCTTTGTGATAATGGTGTCTGTTCTTCCAGGTAAGTATTGAAATATTTTTCATTTTCTTAGACTTAAAAGATCTGCTACACAAAATAATGCAAAATTAATTTCCAAAATCTATATGTATTCACTTTGTCAGTTAATTTTATTTTGGACTAGTATATCTTTATATAATTCCTGTTATATCAGCTGATTGCACATAAATGCAACAGATAAGTGTCCTGTCTTTAAGTATCCAGAAGACATTTATTGCCTGGTAGGAGGTTCTGTATAATGCTGTTCTCTCTTGAGTAACTTGCCTGTCAGAATGTAAATGATATGAGATATGGTTTTAGAATTAATGCCTCATGGTTTTTCTATTATATATAGTAATTTCTATATTTAATTTAGCTTTGAAAAAAATAATTTGGGATTCATTAATCCATCTTTAATCCACAGTGATTTCCATGAGATCTAACCTCTATAATCACAACTTATGCAATAATAGTATGTATTTAGTAAAACTAAGTTTGTTGAAGATAAATACTGCTATCATAATAATTTTAAAGTTTTTCACTTCAACATTTGATCTTAAAACATATTTGAGGGATTATTATCCAATAAGTTTTGTATTAGTGTCTTAAGTTTCTGTGACTGAGCAAGGTGATGATGTGTTTTTCTCCTCTTAGGAGTTTACTTTGTAGAAAGGGTAGAAAGAGACAGAAAATACACAGATAAATATATTTGTGTCTTAAGTTTCTGTGACTGAGCAAGGTGATGATGTGTTCTTCTCCTCTTAGGAGTTTACTTTGTAGAAAGAGAGAGAAAATACACAGATAAATATATATTAGATGCAAAAAATTATTTCAAAATGAATACAGACAAAATAGAGAGTATGGTTGTGAAAATCAATGAGAATTTTTTTTTGGCTAGGCTGCATTTTGAATATTCTGCTTATTATTTTTATTTTATGTATATGAGTGTACTGCCTAGATATATGTCAGTGTACCATGTCATGCAATGCCTATGGAGAGCAGAAGAGGGCATCTGATTCTCTGTATTTGTAGTTACAAGCAGTTCTTTGCCACCATGTGACTGCCGGGAACCAAACCATGGTTCTGTAAAAGAATAGCCAGTGCTCTCAACTATTGAAACATCTCTCCAGCCCCCCATTAGGTTGCATTTCAAAAAAATTTAGAATACTATATCCAGGGGGAAATATCCAGAAAAAAATTTCATAAATATGTGCCTAGTAATTTATCATCAGCACCTCTTTACATAAAAGGTATTCTTATCGAACTTATTTAGGTATAATGAAAGTGATCTCAAATGGAAAATCTGATTTCTAAGAGAAATTACATGTAAGACAGTGTCCATATGTGACCATACTTAAAACCATCACTTAAAACAATAAATTTTGTTAGAGTAAATGTTTAACTAATACACAAATGTTTTCCTTTTCAAACCCAAATTCTCATATATCATCTTTATGTAATTCTATAGGAATCATAATATATAGAAATCTATCAGGACTCACAATCAGGAGGCAGAGGCAAGAGTATTGCTACAAGTTCAAGGCCAGTCTATCTCAGCCAGCCACAGCTATAGAGTGAGATTACACATAGGACATTATACATAGCAGAAGAAATCAATGATTTTTTCATAGTATATGTGGGTATTTTAAAAAATTGGTCTTACCTGTGCTATAAAGGAAGCCACAAGTAATTTTAAAAGGTAAGTACCATATTGACAGCTTTGATCAATAGTATTATCAATATGTTAGAAAGTTATTACAAACAAGATACATAAGAAATAACTCTGAGTTTGGAGTTTAAACAAACTTGAAAAACATTGATAGGTGAAAGAAAACATCAAAATGGATTTTAGAATATATTGGTAACTTAAAAAAATATGATGTTGAAATTTAAAGGGAATATTTAAGAAAATTTCTGAGAGGTAAATGGTACAGATCAATTATGAATATGCAGATTTTAGGGGAAAATTGAGAGAGATTAAATTCAGTGGCCTAACTCTCAACTTCAAAAGTTAAACCAAAAGAGAGGAAACTCAAGTGTGGTGATGTAAACATAACCTAATACTCATGGCTGGAGTGGCCATAAATCTTACAGAAAACCTCAGGACTGTCACATTGCTAGACTAATATGATTTCTTACTATATGCTAAATATGTATCCTTTAATTTACAGACAACTATCCCAATCACCACTCATCAAAGAAGCTCATTTTTTACCAGTCAGAGACTATTACCACATACCACAACTGGTCACACATGAACATTGTCTAAGAATTCCCCAGGCCTAAGAGATACATATAAAATGCAATCTCTACACCTAAAGCTCATGGAACATAGAATAGGGATAAAGAAGAGGACACTAATGAATCCCTCAGTTCTCAACAATGAAGCTCCCTCCTCTTCACAAAGGTCACAAATAGCCAAAGTGTAGAGATCAATAGTCTGCTGAATGCTTATTCTTGGGCAGAAATCCTTTATTAAACCTTCACTCACCCAAGGCTCGTGAACCATTGTGGAAGAGGGGACAGAAAGATTGTAAGAGTCAGGGAAGAGATGCACGACTACATGGAAACAGAGTGCTAAAGAGCTCCTGTGAACCTACTCATTTGATTCTGTGGCAATGGTGTCAGCATACACAAGCCCCATGTAAACTCAGGCAGACAGTAACCCAGCATAGGACTGGGAAAATGAACAGCAGACCTCAATCATATCTGAAGTAATGTTGGCAATTGATTGCTGCTAGATGAAGAATGGATGATCTTCCCATAACAAGGGACTCTAGACAGGCTGACTAGAGTAAGTGGATGGACTTGCACAGGGGAACAGCTTGGGACACTGACAACCCAGTAGGACTTAACAGGCATGACAGAGTATATGGGCTCCAGTTGGAGGGTGTTATGGGAGGGTGCAGGTGAGGATAGGGGTATAAAGATGGTTAAGATTGTTAGATATTCCATATGAAATACACAAATAATTCAACAAAAATATATTTAAAAAATCGTAATATAAAAAATAAAAAATGTGCAGTTTCTGAAGCCAGATTGTCTTTATGTGAATCTGTTTCCTTTTACTTGTTTTTTTTTTTACCTTGAACAAGAAACTTAAGCTCGTGTTTTTCTTCATGTATGATGCATGATTAATAGAAATAGAACCTGACTCACAGAGATATAAGGACAGAATGAGCAAATACACAAAAGATAGTGTCAGATACTTGCTCAGTTGAATGTGATTAGTCTTTGCAAGTAAAATGGCACTAATTAAGTAGAGAGAAAACATACCTTAGTTCCTCACCTGAAGGAAAGTCTAAATTTTCGAGGAGATAGATATACTTACCAGACTTAAACATTGTACAATGTGTATATGTTTGAAACATTTAATCATATTTCATAAGCATAGTGTTCAATGTTCTTGTTTGCATGTGCCTGTAAAAAGTAATGTAACTGAACTGAAAGAAAAAAAATTCATACAAGTTAATAGTCTTTCCTATGAAAGTAATAATATGGTTGCAGCTGTTCCCATGATGATCGGGGAAAGAAAAATGGAGAGATAAGCAGTAAACAAAAAGGACACGAGGAAGGAGGATGCATGCAGGCTTCTTTGACAAGTTTGATTGTACAAAATGGACACTATCTGTAGGCACAGGGGCAACAAAGTTTAACTTTTTTAGTATGGGCTGAAGAATGAAGTTTGTATACATGGCTAGGATTCAACTGAATAAGGATGTGGTAAATGCCCTGAGAGGTCAATGAAAGCAATAAATGACAGAATACTAGACACAGCAGTGAAAATAAATTATTTGTTAATAAGTCTATGCTTAAGAAAACAGTATAATATGAGGGTGATTATTTTCCCACAGGATTTTTAATTGACTTTTTTGTGTATTTCATACAGAACAGCTTGAACAATCTTAATCATCTTTATAACCCTGTCCCAACTGTCATCCTCCCATAGCCCCCCCCACTGGAGCCCATATACTTAGTCATCCCTATTAAGGCCCGTTGTGTTGTCAGTGTCCACAGCCGTTCCCCTGTGCAAGTCAGTCCACAAAGTCTAGTTAGACTAGAGTCCCTTGTTTTAGGAAGATTAGCTCTTCTTTATCTAGGAGCAATCAGCTGCCAACATTCCTTCAGAGAAGATTGAGTCTGCTGTTCATTTTCCCATTCCTACACTGGATTAATAACTGAGTTTGCATGGGACTTATATATACTGACACCATTTCCATAGACTCCTATGAGCAGGTTCCCAGGAGCTTGTAGAACTCTGTTTACATATGATCATATGCCTCCTTCCTGGCTCTTATCATCTTTCTACCCCATATTCTGTGACGGACCCTGAGCCTTGGGTGGGAGAAGTTTAAAAAAGGGATTCTGTCCAAGGATCAGCATTCAGCAGACTCTTGGTCTCTACGCTTTGGGTATTTGTGACCTTTTGTGTTCCTGGCCCTCTGCTGCTTAAGGAAGCTTCATTATTGAGAATTGAGAAATTCTTTAGTGTCCTCTTCTTTATCCCTGTTCTATGTTCCGTGAGCCTTAGGTGTAGAGGTTGCATTGTAAATGTGTCATTTAGGCCTGGACAATCCATAGACAATGTCTGTATGTGACCAGTTGTGATACTTGGTAAAAGTTTCTGACTAATGCAAAAATGATCTTCTTTTGAAAGGAGAAATGGAGGCAGATTAAATGGGGAAACCATGGTGGAAGGGTTAGACAGTGAGAAAGAGAGAAGGGAGATAAATAATGCCTAGCTAGTTTTGAAAAACCAGAGGGAGCCATATTAGTCCAACAACCTACTGACAAATTATACATACATTATCTCTACATGAGTCCATGTGTATAGCTAAAGGTTATATAACAAGAAATAGTGCCAGACAGGAGATACCATCATTTGAGTTGTTTCCAGGGTGGTCCCAAAATAACCCAGGCTATTGCCACAGCCCTTGATGGCCTACCAGAACTTGAAGGTAACACCCTTCTGCTGAAGACAGAGCAAACTTGGGACACAGTTTTTGGAGCAGTAGAGCTGTGACTGACCTGC